TGACATCAAATCCAAACCAAAAAATGTTGGCATCCAAGTCGTCGTAGGACATTAAAACCAAACATAAAAAATCCACTACTAGCATCCTATGTATGGGAGGATATGAACCTACCACTAGCGTCCTATAAGCAGGAAGAAACATGTCACTAGTGCCATTTTTTTTTGAGAGATATGAGCCTACCAGGTAACTTAGGACCAATGCTGTAGACAGTTATCAGTATCTACTAAATTACACTATTGCTGACTTCCGTGTTGTCATAAGAATCCATGTGGGCGAAATTTCCAGACTGGGTTGACTGACGGGCTCCGTCAAACATGCCATGTGAGCCGATTCTTTGTACTTTCTATAAGTACCATTTCTTTTGATTTGTAGAATCTTGACATCGTTCCAACTTATGTGATGGTCCTCCTCATAAGCATGTTTAGCCAGTCTTGATTTCTCCAGTAGACCTTGCTTGAAGTTGTATCTATGTTCTTGAAGTCATATGGCCAGTGGTCTTCCTGTTTCTGCAATGTAGCTTCTGCCGCATTCATATGGTTTACAATACACACTGTGTCGTTTGTTGTGAATCCCTTCTTGGTCTAGTTCTCATAAGTGGGTCCCTGAGGGTGTACTTTTTTACGAAAATTGTTCTAATGTTATTGTAATGTTTTTTATCTCTTGTAGTAGATGTTATATTGTCGTTGCTACCAGGTAATCTTGTAGTTGTAGTAGTAGAGTTCCAGATAGGTTTTCTATTGGTCGGGATAATCAGTTGGTACGGTGAGGAAGCTAAGTCCCTCACGCAGGAAGCTTTGAGGTGAATCAGCAACAACCAGCGTCCACGTCCAAGTAGAGTTTATTTAAAGAGTAAGCTGACGTTCCAGTGAACAGCAGTGATAGAATAGTAGTCATAGAATAGTCCCTCTTCAGCCCAGATAGTGGTTTATATAGGATCAAAAAATGAATAGTCATATTATGGTAACGGAAATGAGGCAATTCCCAAACAGACCCTGTGACCGTAGTCATCTTGACGGCTGAGGGGTCCGGATGTCCTCCTCAAGATAGCACCAAATTTATGTATCCTTAGTGTAAGATTTATACATCCGTTATTTCCCAAAACATACTAATTTCTACTGATATAAGTTATTCCACTATCTGGTCTGTTCATTCCGTGACTTACATATTGATAATAAGATGTCAAAGGAATGAATACATAATTATTTAGGAGGGGTTCAAGGTACATAGTACAGTACATATTACATTATATTGATTTGCAATGCATTTAAATTTCTCGGAAACAACCTTTATATATGGAATAAACACCAAGTCAACAGGCTTTATTTCGTTTTCTGGACAACTTATTCTCTTGGAAGTACTAATAACTGAATTTCATTCATTAATGATGGATGGGAAGATGCCTTCTCTAATTGATACATTGACTAATTCTACAATTGATTTTATCATGTGAAGTACACATTTATTCAGTAAGAAAGGTAAGATGTCATGAAGTCCTGCTGATTTGTTATTATTCATGCTCTGGATTAATTTTATCAATTCAGTCTCTGTTATTTCTAATAGGACCAGTGAATCATTTATGCTTGTTATATTATTACTAGTTTGTGGATGCATAAAATTTTTGTCTAGTATGAGTTTATTTACAGTTTATATAAATGTTTTGTTGTATATGTTACACATTCTGCTCGGACTTGAGACTATTTCATAAATTATATTTAATAATTACTTTATTCAATTCGTGAAGGGCTCTTTCAAAAGTATTTTCATCATTGAAGATAATAACCTGGTTGTCCGCAAACATGAGTGTCTTTATAAATTTATATGCTTTTCCATATTTCCATATATGTTTAAAATATTCAGCTGCAATTTCCAATGTCTCACAGCATTGTTGAGGTATAGGTTAAATAAAATAGGGGATGACTGCATTTTTGTCTAACTCCTAAATTAATGATTGCAGAAGACAACTCTCCTGTGTTCATTCTGATGCATATGTTTGTTTTATCATACATATTCTTTATTACTTCTACCAGATGGTTAGGGATACCCCTCCTATGGAGAATACTCCATAGCTTCCGTCAATCTATTCAATCAGAAGCTTTCATGTAGTCCAGTGTTGTGCAACCTTTCTACAGTCCACGACTGTAATATAGAGACTTGCGGGGTGAGGAGGTGGGGTGAAGGTTGAAGGAGGAAAGATAGCGTCTGCCTTTAACAATCCAGACTTATTGCATTCCTTGCAAGTCTCAAGATTACATTCGTGGACTGCACACTCGCAGCACACTAAATATTGTCGAAGAGTCATAGCAGCACACACCAACCCCATTTTGCGTATCATGGAGGGGGGGGAGTAGATGGTTTATGGCATTGATTGGCTGCGACTTCTTATAAATTGACCCCAACCGAAAAATGTTCTATTTGATATTCGTAATTATCCATCTTTATTATTATGTCACTTATTTTAAATAAATTGAAATATAATATTTCCTCCTGTTTGATCCAAAATTTATTAACTATGTATAAACATTTAAACTTAAAGATACTTATTTATATTCGTACACATTATAACTGTCCTTCTTCGGTTAGTTGTTTGCTCCAGCTAGCCAGGGACTCAGGGTCGTTCATGGGGATCGAATATGTAACGGAGAGATAATGATTGACTGTGAATCTAATTGTACCTTTATTTCAAACACAAGCTTACGAAAGTTTTAACCTTCTACTGTTAAGAAACTCTCCACGACTGCCCAGACACACTTCCCGAATGCTGCTCCTGGCTTACTCCCCCAAGAGACCACATGTGAGTCCTCCCCCTACTTTCTCACTTAACACAGCCGACCCTTTGTTTTTAAAGAATTTCAGCCAGCTCGCCCTTGCAGCGTTACTCCATAGGACTCTAATGTCTGGACGGTTACAACGTCGGCTGCATAAAAATACATAGAGTGGCAATAAAAGTAAAGGGGAGGTACACATGTTTTGCTGCAAAGTGTTTGTGTTGTTTTCCAATTCCATTTAGTAGATCTTGTCTGTCCTCAGTCTGCCCGATCATAATAAAGAAAATGAAAACTGAGATAGAGCAGAAAACAAGATTAACAATTATTTATCTCATTATGGTTATAATTCTAATATGAGGTGAAAATTTTGTGGCACACCTAGATGGCCTCTGCAGCATACCGGTGTGTTGCAGAACACCTTCTGCACATCACTGACGTAGTCAATAAAAAAGAGGTGTACAGTGAAACCTCGATGCATCGTTTTCGGCGGGGGATGGGAAATAAAAACGATGAATGCGGGAAAACGATAGATGCGGGAAAGCATTAAAAATTTAAAAAAAAACAATGTTTCTCTTTCAAAGTTACTTCTTTTTACCAAAAAAGTCTTTAATGGACAACTGGTTTGTTGAAACTTTACGTTTTAGACCAAACAGAGCACTTTCCACGTTCAAAATGTTTTC